GATGCGATTCTGTTAATTTTAACAAAGAATGATAAAGGAAAATAATCAGAAATTATCAAACAAATGATCAAATTTGGCTAAATTATTCGGGGTGCATAAAACTACGGGGACAGACTAAGAATTTCCTCTGTCACTCTTCACCCTTCTCCTACAGCTCGTTGTTGAATGGGAATATGTGCTACACAAATGCTATCTATTATTATTATCATTATTAAGTAAGGCTGATGATGGTCATTTAAAGCACAAAAGCAAACAACAACAAAATAGTATGGTACATGAAAATTATACAAAAGGGAAAAATCCCAACAGCTTTAAGAAAGGACCAATGAAATTCATGGTAGGTGCAGTTTTAAATCAAAGGGAAGCAGTATTCAAAATGTACATGGACTGATTGGAAAGTCTTGCTTCTACATCATAATTTTCCAAATAATCATGCCACAAACTAAAATTTACACCAAATAAAAGCTCAGAATGTCAGCTATAAGATTCTACTTTTATTTTTTCTCATAATCACCAGCTCTGTCAACACCGGTGCGCCAACAAGCAACAGGTCGGCCTACACTACATGTGCATTGCATCTGCCAAAAATCTAAGGCTTTCCTTTGGACTGTCTATACACAGCAGAGTTTAAATTTCTGCATCATTCTATTGATTTTCCTTCTGGGGTTCTTTAAGTTTCAGAAAAAGAAAAAAAGACAGACGGGGCAAGGTCTGGGCTATAAGAAAATTGTGACAAAATTGTGGAATCATAGTCCCCTACTGGCACCTTAAGTCTTTAGGCTTGTGTGGGGACAAGCGCTGTCATGATAAAGAACGGTATTTTTAATGTGCTAAATTCAGGATAGATGTGCCCAAAGTATTTGAAGAGTCTCCGCATATCGATCAGTGTTGACAGTATCACCCTGCTCCAAGAATCCCATGAGTATTATTCCTTCAGAATCCCAAAACATGATCAAGAGCTCTTTCCTTGCACAAAATGCAAATTTGAGCTTTTTGGTACTTGGTGAGCCTCTACGTCTGAATTCCATGGATTATTTCTTGTTTTCTGGGTCATAATGGTGAACTCAAGATTTGTCCCCAGTGTCATTGCACTGGGGAAGATTTAGGGAAATCAATACAACAACGGTGCAGAAATTCAAGCTGATGTGCTTCTAGGTGCTCTGTGTTGATAGAATGGGTAACTATGTTTTTACAAAAATAATCAATGTAGAATTCTATAGCAGACATCCTAAACTTTCACTTGGTATAAAGTTTACATTCGTGGCATAATTATTATTATCTGGAAGGCAAGACTTTTCAGTCAACTCTAAAACAAAGACAACAGTGGAAGAAATAATAAAGATAACAAAGAGTATTTTGATTTCAAACAGGTAAAATAATGCATTCTTCAGGCGAAAATCTGATTATGAGTCCTCCCAGTTGACAGGCTTTTAAGTAAAGTAAGGAATCAGATATACATAAAGAATTATTGATCAGTTAATAAATAGTTTGAAATTAATGTTTTGCAAAAGCACAATTGGTCGCTTTTAAGGACAAGCGGGCTAACCCAGATTTCGGTGGTTTCCAGAAATCTTGACCTACACCAAAAGTGGGCATTACCCTACTTATAGGAGAAGTTTGGTTTCATTGGTGTGTATATTTGTTTGGTTATTGAGAAAAAACTCTTTGTCTTTTAAAGAAACTGAACAAGGGACAAAAACTTTACCTTCGATTTTCCTCAAAACAGCATTTTTCGAGATAGCCCCCTTTTGCTTAAAAGCGACCAATTAAGCATATCGTATCAGTTCCATTTTCAATCTGAGTTCTTAACATTATTGCTTTCAATTTGGAAATGTCTTGCAAGCAATCTAATTGCAGTGGATGTAATTAAAACATAACAAGAAAATCTCCATAAAAAAGTTGCTTTACCTTGGTTTCATCCACTTTTAAATATAATTCTTTTGCGAGAGGAAATGCAAACGCATATTGTTGTAAGTGTAAGTAATGAAAGAACATAAAGTAAAAATAAAATCAGTGAGCACCAACATTATACTTTTCACACATATTCAGCAGCAGCCTTCACAGAGCCAGAGAGATGTCTCAATTTGACTAGGTAAGTGACATTATAGCCATACGACATATGTTGCTTAACTTAAGACAGAAAATTGTTTGTCAAACCATAAGAGCTATTGCAAATATATTAAATGCATAAATTTCCTGTAAAAGACTTCGCATAAAATGTATTTAATATTTCAATACAAGGAGATCTAAGCTGTTTTGACTCTGTAATAACACATGTTATCCTTTTAAGAATCTGTCTACTGTCTCCGGATACACGAACCAGAAATTTCTGAAACCTGATTCAGAAATGGCAGCATTTCACAAGAACATTGTGCTTCAGTCTTGAAGTAGAATGTGCTCACCCACTCATAACTGCTCACATGGATTTTCTGCCCTGGCCATGCAGGTGTAAGGGGAAATGAAAAAGCCGACAGACTGGCTGGTGAGGCCAACTCAGTTGACAATACGGTTCAACCAGATAGGGTCGAGATCCTGAAATGTCTCTCTTGCCAGCTGATTGAGGAGGAAGATAGGGAGGCAGAGGCCGGTACTGCTGTGGAGAGGACGATGCTTTTGGGAACACAAAAAGGAAGTGGAAAATCTGGCATCCTTGCAGGAAAGAACAGAAGAATGTTCAACCAGATGTGCACTGGCACAATCAGTGGAAAGACCCTTGGCGACATTATGGAGAGAGCAACGGAGCATCAATGGACATGTCACCAGAGTGCAGGGATGTTGCTTCCAGAAACAATGAACAATGAAAAACTGCAGAAGTGACAAGCAATTGTGATTTTAAAAACTTATATTTGTAGAAATAATGCAAGTTTCAACATTTATCCACAATAACTGTTTCCTTTTTCAAGCTAGGATCCATATACAGTCGAACCTGTGTAAGACGGCTACCCATTGCCAAGGAGGAAAGTGGCCGAATAAGACAGGTGGCCGTCTTAGGCAGGACTGATCAAGATGAAGAAAACAAACCATTCCTTTCTGAAGTCCCATGTAACTGAAGGTAGCAGCGTTGTAGTTGTTATTGTTGTACAGTAGTCTCCGCCTAAACGCACACCAAACAAAAGCACACTCCACCCAAACGCACGCTTTCGTCATCTGACGGGTTTTTTACTATATAATTTAGACGTACAAACACACGGTCACTCCCTCTAAACGCACGCTCTGATCTGCAAAACACGCCAACAGGTTAAGCTTGACAAGGGGAAATTTTCACCACAACCTGCACAGCTTGCGTAAAACATGCCTAGAAAATAGGTGAGCGTGCTCCTCACGCCGAAGAAAGAGTGATGGGCAGCGTTTTCACATCCAACTTTCCACTGACACATAGGTCTAGGACTGGTCGGTGAAAAGTTGGGGGGGGGGGGTTGGGGGGACTGAAATGTTTTTTGATTAGTCACTGGAAACGTATCTTTGAAAGGTTTCTGACTGGCGTTTGAGTGACTGCTTGTAATGTTTAGTTAAATATAGGCCTGATGCGTAAAACACTAGATCTAGACAGGATTAAAGATTAGACAAGTAAGCCTAATCAGCTGCGCTCGAAGAACTTATAACGTACTTGTTCAACGAATCACAAGAGAAATGTTTCTCTGAATGTAGAGAATGATTCTGCATAAATTTACGGTGGGGGGTGGTCGCTTGGAAAGCCACATGGCTGGTCCATCGTCTCTATGACTATCGCCAACAGTTTCCTCTTACGCTATCTGTTCCTGACGTTTATAGTGCATAATATTATAATTTATTACATTGCGTGTCTTTCTCCCCCCCCCTCTCCTTTTGTTGCTGCTTTAGTGCAAGGGTGACAATAAAACGAAATGTGTCAGACAAAGAGGACCAAGTGCAATGGTAAAACAAACATATGGGTCGCCACCACTTGGAGAATGAGCGACGTTTCTGTCACAGATTCATGTTGACGTTCATTGTTACTTTGTTACAGATTGGGTAAACAGTGACCACTCATCTCACTTACGATCTGTGTATGAGTTCTAGGCGGGGCTTATGGGTTATGAGGGATCACACGCTTACCTCACCAGCAGCTGAAAATTTGTTACCTATTACTATTGGTCAACAGTGGGAGGGGCCTCAATAACTGAGACCAGACAAATGAATATGCATGACTCCTCACATTTATCTTGAATAATGGTAAAAATAAACAATAGCACCTCTCTAGTGGATGACTACCTTGTTGTGGTTAGAGAGCTTGAGTGCCTCAGTGACCCCAAGGACTACGCTGGCTGGAGCTAATGCTCCTGGTAGGGCCACCCATGCCAGACAGGTCAACGGGCAGAGATCAGACGAAGCGTGATCCACCGGCCCTCCAGGTTTCGGAGGTTCAGCTCAGGGCTAACAACCCAGACTGGTAAAAATCATATGTTACGGAAACAGCAATAAAGAGAAACCATTTCTGTACGTGATGGACCTTCAGAGTCCCTTGGGACTCGTATGAATGCTGGCAGTGAAAGCCGCAAGGGACGCTGACCAAGATGACCCAAAACAGACAGAGCTGAAGATCCTTCGTTGTTGCCCTAAACGCCAGATGGCGTAACGGATAGTAAGTAAGTAAGTAAACAATAGCACGACTCCTCACATGCATCTTGACTAATGGCAAACTTTAGCACGAATTCTCACATTTGTCTTGAATAATGGCAAACTTGAACTATAGCAAGACTCCTCACATTTATCATGAATACTGGCAAACTTTAATTATAGCACAACTCCTCACATTTGTATTGAATAATGGCAAACTTCAAATATAGCACAAATCCTCCCATTTACCTTAAATAATGGCGAACGTGAACTTCACAAAGCAACCCTAACACTCTGCATGTTGGACTATCAATGAACCTAAATCTGCACACAACAGTTGAGCTTTATAAACTGGATGACTTCACATTGGACACATTAAATATTTACAAAATTACTGACATCTTTAAAAGCCATTAACTTTTCACTTTTGCATATATAAATAATAACCATATCTATCACCTTTCCAAATGAGAAACTTCCTGGAAATATCCAGAAAAAAACTCGGGTATTATTTCTTTTTGGCTTAGGAAAACACATGACCTGGATCTGGACTCTTACTCTTTGGAAGAATCCATGCAAAGCATCAAGGCTCAAGAAAACTGACCAAATGAAATCCATGTAACTTAAATGCTGCCAAACATAATTAAATGACTAATCTAACATCTCTATAGTCCAGATATATACAAAACTTTCATGCCAGGCTACATAGTGTTGCTGCACATATTTGGTGACTCCGTTCCACCGGGTAATTTTCAGCATTGGAAAAGCAGAGAAAAAACTAAACTTATATTTTTAAAAATTATCCCTCTCCTTCTTCAAGACAAATGACATACTTTCTCTACAGCTAAGCAGTTCCAGGGAAAGCCATGATGGAGAGTCACCTTAACACTCAGATAAGACATTGAAAATATTTTGTTATGTAGTGTTATGAATGAACTGTCAAGAAAACCTCAAGTTAATTAAGGAAACACAAGCTGGCAGGATATCATCGGCCAGCAATTATTTGAATTCTTTAGAAATTGTAGTTTCTTGCTTTGTGGTATTGGTTGCACATGTGCAAGCAATATTTTGTCATAACTCAAATTCTAAATTTTGACAATAGAGGAAGAATGTACGGGCCCCCAACAATACAGAAGACAGGTATATCATGAGATTTGTAATTAAACAGCACAGATAAAAATGTTAACCTTAAGGAGAAGGAAGAAGATGTGGCCTAATGGTGAGTGCTACTCTCTGCTTTATAGACCTGTCAGCACTCCTAGAGAGAGAGAGAGAGAGAGAGAGAGAGAGAGAGAGAGAGAGAGAGAGAGAATATTATTGCAGTGCAAGGGGGGCATAGAGCACAATCTGTACAACAACAATCATTACTGAACTTTGTAGTAGCAAAACAGAGACACAGCTCCCCCCACAGGTCAGTTTCTCTGTATTAAGGTCAGGTCTGGTCTGGGAAAAGAGAACTATAAGCTGGAGGAGGGGGCACACTCTCCTCCGCATTAAGGGGGAGATTTTCAGTCTCCTCACCATCTGGAGCAGGACCAACACTGGGCGTGACAGGAGGTGTGCGGCTCTCGAGTTCACTTCCTCTTCTATGCATCACCTGCTCATATGATGGAGGAAGAGATGAAGAAGAGGCCGGTTCTAATGGTGCAGAAGGCTCAAGTCTAGCTGTACTTCTTGTTGCAGTCCGTGTCGATGGTGACGCGGGACGGGATGTTCTTATCCCTCTTGAAGATGGCTGTGGAGGTGGTGGGGTGTCCGGCCGAGGTCTGCCTGTAATGGAAACATCACTGGAAGAGTCACTTGAATCACTCTGATGTCGTCCGTAGGCAGAGAGCCTGGTGTCCTCATCATTGTAATTAGATCGGGGTGGATCTCTCAGTGCCAAGCCGTCTGGAAGCAGGAAGAAGAACAACTAATATACAATTCAGTTCAAGCATAATATTCCTGACTAAATTTTAAAAATTGAAACTAGTCAAATATAATAAAATTATAATTTATTATAAAGGGGCAGGTTATCATTTAAATGGTACCAAAGAAATATGTAAACTTTTTAAAATACAAAATACTTTTTGTCAATAAAGATATGTATGTCTTTATCAATTTCCTCTCAGTAAGATGCTTTATCCTCAACACACACTAGAGATGAGAATTGATAAATGAGAAAAATGTAGTATTCTACACTATCTGCTCATAATAGGTACATCCAAATAGGCAAGGAAAAGAAGTAAGCACTGTATCTTTTAAGTCAAAGAGCCACCATAATTTGGTTCAAATATTTTGCTGTTAAGTGGACTCAAATACTTTTTTTTTTTTTATGTATGACAGTTAACAAAGAAACTGTGCCACTAAGATTCTAAGAAGAAAAAGCAATACTTTGTATTATAGAAGAAATGTCTATCATAACATATCGCAGAATAATTCACAGTTAGTCACAGATACGTCATTCCTTTATTATGGTTAACATATTCATTTTCCTTTCTTCCCCTGGAATCATAGAAAGGAAATTTCAAACTTCATCATACATCAGTCCCAAATTGGTTAAGTACGTTTTATCCTTCTTAAAAATATCCCGTTTGTGCTTTGAAGATACTGACAAAAATTATGAAATTACAAAAAGTGCAATTTAATGCTAAATTGTATTACCTTCACAATCACTGGAATGTGATTCCACATTTCTTGCTTTCTGAGAACAATAACACCACATCATCCTTACAAAAACAATGCATGCGACTGGTGCAAACACATAGACAGCAATAAGCAGGGTGGATGGACCATCGTCATCCTCTTCTTCTTCCTCATTGTCGCCACCAGATGAAGTTGTCACTTTGTCACGTTTCTTTTCAGCTGCAAAGTAGAAAAGACAATTGTACGTTTTCACTGACATTACCTACTCCTCACATATGTGCCTGTGCAAAAGGTCCAATTCAAAACTTATTTACTAGGCCTATAATGTTATTTATCATTGGTCAGTTGTTCAGATGTACTACTCTCAAAATGTTGAAAATTGTTTTAAATTTCAGTTTCTTAATCTGTAGAATCTATTGCCTGTGCTCAAGAAATAATTTGTCCGTATTTAAATCTCAATTATTGAAAAAGTCCAGAACAAAATCCATAATTCAACATATTATATATAGAAGTTAACATCAATAAGCCTCATCTTTGGACAAATGCTGCTTTCTCTAGTAATTGTGGTGTTGAGGATGTCTAGGTTAACAAACATGCATATATGTGACTTGCTGCCAAGGACCCAATAAAATTTCTTAAAGGATTTATTATGCGACAATAGTATTTTCAAGTAGTAGCATCTCTTAAACTGCAGTACAAACCTAATCTCTTTGCTTTATTTTAGTATCTCATGTGAGCATAAAACTTTAACATAGTTTGCTAATATTTTTATATGTGCTTCACTTTAACAATATTTGACATGAAAATATTACGAAAAAAAGAAAGCTGGAAACATGTTCATAAAACCACAAAGTTTCACTTAACATCTTTGTCACTGCAAGAAAATCACTTGTCAATTACTGTTCAAATTACATAGGAATACCATTTCAATAGACAGCCACTGAAGTTTTTTGGCTGTTGTAAATTTGACACAAACATGTGTCAAAGAATTAAATGCACAGAAGTGTCAGCTTTACCAACATAGAGCTGATGGATTAACATTTATCTGTAGTGAGTCTTCCAAAAGAGCCATCCATTTCAAACATGTCCTCAAATGAGCCTAATCCACAAGAAATGAATAGCACACACTATTTTCTTCTTCATAATTTAACAGAACAAAAGGTCTAAAAGTACTGGTTGCAAGTTTTAATGCTGCAAAAGTAAATCTTATTCCTACGTAGAATCTTACATCAACAAATGGAAATGTGAAAGGGTAAATTTGGGCTTTTATGATTATACGTACACTTTCGCTCTCCTTTTTTGGGCAACTTTTCTTTTTCATCACTGCAGGATTCCAAACAACTAACTCTTGAAAATGCATTTTCCGTTCTTTCTCTGAATTCTCACTGACCACACACAACACATTCAATAAATAACTTTCAGCCAGATTTACCTATCCAAAACTTTGGATTCTAATCAGCTAAAATGTGTATAATAGCCTTGCTTTTTAGTTTTTTCAGTTTCCCGTAAAACTTACAGAAACCGAGTTAGCCCTTCAGAATCCTGCAGCGACGATAAGCAAAAAAGAACAGTTGATGAATGTGATTCTGACTTTCAGAACAGTACATTGCTTTAAGAGGAACACTGCAAAATCTACATTGGTTCAATAAAGTTAACTATTTATCTCCGTGGGGGGAACCCACTATGCCGGAACGAAATATAAAATTGACACACTATGTCACTAAATGGGTCATTAAAATAAAAAAGTGAACCCATTTTGATAGTTCTTCATGTAATGAATGATCTCCTGGACAAAGAGACTAGTTTTTGTTAATTGTCGGAAAGTAATTTGACGATGAAGTCTTCATAAAATGCGCCCGAGCCTAATTTAAGTAAGCAGCTCACCGGCACAGTGGTTCTGATGGCGAGCCGCTGGGAGCAGCTTGCTGGAGATATAAAGAGTTAAAAAGAGAAAAAGAAAAAGAAACAAAAGAAATAAAAGACAGATTCTTTTTAAAACCAAATATTTGAGGCAAGAAACTACCAAGTTGAAACTACCTTTGAATTCATATCTGAGTACAAATGTGTGCTTGTACTGATGGTCTGCATCTCCACCAAATCTGGGTCGTACGATGATCGCAATCCTATTGTAGAAGTTCCATTTTAAACAGTACTCTTCACCAATGGTTGGACGGTTTTCGGAGCTGAAATTCCTGTTTATGTCAAGAAGAAGGATAATTCAGTTAAGATGGATAAAACTGCATAGCCCTGAGAAGTAAGGCTTGAAAACCAACTTGTAAAAGTGGTTTAGAATTCATGGTCCCGGTAGCTCTACAAAACAATAGTCCCACTGTAGTCTGACAAGAGGTTTTTTTTATTGACAGCTAGAATGGCAAGAAATTGAGTGTTTTATTTGAGAGAGGTCCGAGAAGCAATGTCAGACTACTGGAAAAGCTATGAAGAAGAAGGTGAAAATATTTTATTTAAGAGTGAAATGCTATTACCTCAGCTGAAGAGATATTTTTTTACTTGAGTGTGGATAGCAGAGATTTGATCCATTGGGTTATATCTGATTCAAAACCAAAGATTTAAAAAAATTGTTCACCATAAGAGATGAATGTTCTGTTTGTAGTACTGGGGTTTAAAATAATATCTAGATGTACATGTGGCACACAGTTTGTATATGTTACAGTAAGAATGCGTACCTAGTGAATACGCGTAATCACTGAATATTTTAGTGAATACACGTAATCCCCGTTTCACTCAGGGGTTTCACGTAATCACTGAAATTTCTAGCGATTAAGCGAAATCCCTAAAATGAGACCTATCATTTTACGTGTTTTTACTACTGAGCATTCAGTGAATTCACGTAATAGCCCCCCGCCACTGTACAGGGATTACGCGTTTTCACTGAAATATTCAGTGTTTACGCGTATTAACTAGATTGATCTACGTGTTCTTACTGTAACATAGATATGTCAGCTGGCAAACAAGGAGACAACGTGTGTAAGCCAGTTCCACTTGTTGATCGAGGGAGAGGCGATGCTAGAAATATCCTTGGTGTCATAATTGACAGACGAGAAGACACGGACAAATATAAGATAGCCGTAAAAGCTGGTATTCTCAGTGGTTTGTATTCCAGAAATAATTTCGATCTGTGCCCTTAGCATCTTCTGAACACTGACGACATAAACACCGAAAAAATAGTTTCACTGCGTTCGGCGGTGATATTTCAATCCTCTCCAGGTGAACAAGGCTTCATAAGATGCAACTGTACTGGTGCCAAAAACTGTAGTTCAAGGCGATGTAAATGCCGTAAAGCAGGTCTTAGGTGTAACTTACACTGTCATAGCAGCCTCAATTGTTGTAACAAGTGACGACCTGGATGGATTTTAGTCTTAAGTATTTAACTGAAAACTGAAACAACAACAACAACAACAATGGTGTCTGCCATTTAAAAAAATTAAATGCTTTGTTTTTAGATTGTGTGAGTGTGAGAGAGAGAGGGAGAGAGAAGGGAGGGAAAGAGAGAGAGAAAGAGAGAGAGAGAGAGAGAGAGAGAGAGAGAGAGAGAGAGAGAGAGAGAGAGAGAGTATTTTTTACCGAACTGACTATTCAAGCAATACAATTTTGTATGTGCCTGATCATTTTTTAGAATTTTTAAACGCTTAGTTTTTAGATTCTGGAGCATGTGAGTGTGTGTGTGTGTATGTGTGTGTGTGTGTGTGTGTGTGTGTGTGTGTGTGTGTATGTGTGAAAGAGAGAGAGACAGAGAGAGAGAGACACACACACAGAGAGAGAGAGAGAAAAAGAGAGAGAGAGAGAGAGAGAGAGAGAGAGAGAGAGAGAGAGAGAGAGAGAAAGAGAGAGAGTATCTGTTACCGAAATGACTTTTTAAGGAATAAACTTTTACAAACGTATATTATACTACACATGTCTGATCAGGGATTACGCGTAATTACCATGACCATTTTTCAGAGATTTCACGTAATTCCTGATTATTTTAGTGATTACGTGAAATCTCCGAGTGAAACAGGGATTACGCGTTTTCACTGAAATATTCAGTGATTACGCGTATTCACTAGGTACACATTCTTACTGTAACATATATACTGACTCAAACTCGCACAAGCAGAGTACATAAGTGTGTATATTATTAGAAATTTCTTGGAAAGACTTATAAAAGAAAGGTATTCTGTAGCAGGGAACCCTAATATTATCATACTACTAGTTTCACTGTAGTAGTAGTGACATGGACACCAAAATGACCTCTAATGGCCCAGAAAAAACTGTGCAACATTACTTAAGGGGAAGACCTGACAATGCCTGTACGCCCTGATACAAATAAATGCTGTAAAGTACATCGCAAAAATATAATAATAAACCTTGCAGTTTAGAGCACAAAACTATTACTGAAAAAAGTGAAATACGCTTTTACAATATATAATAATACAAATCTTAATCCTCAAATGATGCCTGGAGTTTAAAAAAGATGGGTACTTCATTTTTTAGCCATAAAAAAAATAAAAAGAATAAAGTCAGGAGCAAAGACATCATGTGTGGCCTGTCTAACAGAAGTTATTAAGTTCATCAGGTTCAATACTTTTTATATCTAAAAGGACAAAATTAGCAATGTCTAAACCTACAGAATAGAAGAACAGCTAAATTATTTTTATTCTTCATAACTATGCAGCTTATGAAACTGACAGGAGGCTTTCGCTTTTACTTTTGTAAAGTCCACATCACTGCTTTACAAAAAGGACGTCTTGAGGCCATGATTACTCCCAGTTTATATCACCTGAAGACCTGACATACATGTAGGCATTATAGAAGGTGCCAAGCTCAGAGCATCAAACTGGGATGTGAAGTGCATAGAGTACCAGGAACAAAAATTACAGATAAGCAGTGTCACAAAATACTTTGACACCACGGGTAGTGGAAATGTTAAGATTATGTACAGTCATGCAAACAGCCTGAATAATTACAATGTCCTAAAAAACAAACACTGTTGAACCTGCGCTAACAGGTTGAAGACCTGTTTAAGACAATTGCCAGTGAAAATGACTACTTCCTACTTCATCCCTTTGGTTTTTTCTATATTATTACTATAATGACACTGTCCAAAGCATCCACCTGTCTAAGATAATCACTTTTCCCATCAATGATAGGCGACCATATTGGATCACTTCGACTATACGTAGGTACCTGGATTCAAAAGAGTACAGATGGCGTATCATAAGTGTTGCTCCCTGTGGCACAAAATCTGCATGAACAAAGGTGAAACAAAACTGTCCACTTTTGCTATTGGAAGACCAGGGGGAATGTAACATCCTGTAACACCGCTCAGGAAAGCCATCAAGTCCACGACTAAGCTGCGACACAAGAACTCCTTTGGCCTTGCCCCCACTTGTATATATATTGCAACGTCTCCAGTTGCTCAAATCATCTGGGGAACAAAAAAACCCCCACAAAACAAGAAATGAGAAATCTACAAATATCAACAAAATCCATAAACAACAAAAGTAAACAAAATTCCCTTACAATTGGTACAAGCTGTTTTCTTGAAGAAATAATAAAAAATAATAATAAATAGCATTTGTATAGCGCATATTCCCCGCTCAACAGCAGGCTCTATGCGCTTTACATTATATTATTACCCCAGCAGACCATAGAACATTCCGAAACATTCTCAGCTTCCCGGGAAGCATACAGTGCAAGCAGCTGATTAAGCGCTCAAACACTAACAAACTGACAAGATCTTTCGCTGTCTATAGCCGGGTACCCATTCCCACCTGGGTGAAGTGAGGAAAATTCGTGTAAAGTGCCTTTCCCAAGGACACAACGTCGGGTCCCTGACGGGATTCGAACCCACGACCTTACGGTTGCGAGTCCGAGAGCCTAACCACTAGGCCACCAACGCCTAGAGATATCATTCGATAAATTTGTTTGAGAGAGGCAACTTGTCATGATACACTTTTTTCACTAATTCTTCAACTTAGTCAAGTAAAACGATAAAAAATACAGTATGTGGACAAAAAACAAATGGCTACATATTCATACTAGTCACACTGATTTAATGAAACCAACAGTGTATTTAACACTTTGTGGTCACTCTGCGCAATAATGCGGTGGTGAAAATTATCCATTCCTGTCATCTGGCGCAGAAACTTCGCCAGGCCCGAGAAGTCTGTTGCAGTCACTCTCCTAGCTGGGTGACCAGATGGAGTATTTTGTACTGCTAGTTGTGTGACTGCAAAGTGTTAAGGAAATTTACATACATTTAAGTACATATCAAACTTTTAGATCACTGAAAGTCTTTTTAAAAATAAAAACAAATAAGGGAACACTTCTCTTTTACTCTTTTATTTTGCCCAAACACCAACAAAATATTTTTATTACACTGACAAAAAGAAAAGCACTCAAACATGTCAAAATAAGCGATTTCAGATGTTCTTGATTAAAGAAAGGGAAATCCTGGGAGCACAAAACAGCACAGGAATGATCTCTACTCTTATAAGATTCAGAACACAGATCCACTGCTAAGTGTAAGACTGTGCCATATGCCATACTGGAAAGTGATGTATGATTGAGTCTTACATTGAGCAGTTGAGATGAGGAAGTTGGAAAAGACCGTTGACAGCACAATTGCTTCAATTGAAAACAAGCAAAAAGTTGTACAAATGGCTCGCTCCAGGGAAATAAGAATTTAAATTATTGAATAATGTTATGAAACCAACTCTTCTGTGTGTGTGTGAACTTAGGATAGATTATGGACTAGGTCCAAAGAAAGTTCCACGTCGAAGAAAAGACTGTCAAATGTTTAGTGGGATTCAACGAAACCTGACATTGTGACTATGAGTCCACTCCATTTCCCCAGACTCCTATCCTGGTGGGCAATGAGTAGTGAGATAGTAGTGGTTCCCTTTTTCTTTCCAGACCAGACAGGTGCAACCATTACAGCTACTACCCTGCGCCCATTGAGGGATCCGTTCTCTAATACAAACCGATTGCCCAACTCATGACCTTGAAAACCAACGCATTTGTTTTTGAGGCCACGAGTCGGGCATTTGGTTTTTGCCAAGACAGTCGCTTTGCATCCTCAATTAGGCTATCCCTGCCTACCAAACCGAACTGAACCGATCGTGCCAATGGGCACTGGGTATAATGCGACTAACTACAGGTCAATTCTCAGACAACTTCTAACACCTCTGTAGAGAGGGGGTGTGGATGTGCAGCAATCATGGTTCCAACAGGATGGAGCACTGCCACGCACTCAAGAGCAACTCGCCCCATGCTGCTAGACGTTTTCCAAGATATCAGTTAGAGAACAGGAAATAACTAGGAAACCCATTCCCTGGACTTGAATCCACCTTATTTTTTTTTTATGTGGGACTTCTTTAGGGAAAATGTGTCCCACAAGATCATATAGAACTGAAGAATGAAATAAGACAAATGATTTTAAAAATCACACGAGTCACTTGCCAGAATGTGATAGCTAGACATGTGAACCAGTGTGTCCAGGGGAAGGCAGCACATTTCAAGCATTTGCTATGAAGAAAGAAAAATAAAACCTGTTCTCATTATATTGTTTTATTCAAATTGCTTGTACTTGTGAGGAATTTCATGTCGCACTTACTGTCAAGTGTTTTTTAACATTTTACCATTGAGTGTTGATATAGAATGTTCATTTTAGCATTTATGAGATTTGTTTCAATTTTTTTTCTTTCAGTTCTGGTTATGTGTTATAATATTGACAATATTATAAACAGATAAAAAATGTATTTGTCTGTGCTTTCCATTAATACCAATTATGGTTATTTCTGTTTTGTGGTTACTGAATAAGGAGACTTTAAATATGTACACTTTGCTCTATCAACCAAATACCGAAGCTGTAACAGTGAAAAAGATGTGCAACCAAAATAATTGGTCAAAATGAAAAGCCATCCCCACCCCCATCCCTCAATAGAATAAATAAACCAAAAAATTAATCTACAAACAAATAAAAACTAGTCACAACATGACCTATTTAAAGCAACAGATTAGGAAAGTAATTCTAAAACTCCAAATAAAACCCCAAAAAAATGAAGGCAGCAAAACTAAATTTAAAAAACAAGAAATTTGAATATTTTTTCATGCTACAATTTTCACTAAATTAATAAAATATGATGCCGCTGACAGAGTCAAATTCTTCTGTTTACCTGTCCCTAGAAAGGCCTCAGCAGGTACAAAGAAAAACCTCTAATACTTGTCTAACATTGGCACTGCTATGAGTGAGTCGGGGCAGTGTGTGTTGCGTAATTGCTCTAAAAAAGACTGGGTACAAGAAATGGATGCGGTAGGTAAGCAACACTGTGGGCCCTTACATGTGTAGACTTATGACACCTAAATTCATCCACAATGTGATTGAAGGAAAAAAGACAGGTGGAAGATGAGAGAAAGGGTGGGTAGGCTGTTCTCATTGCTCAGACTACCTCTGAGGTTGTGCGTCAGTCCAAACAGCAAGGGGCCCAGAAACTAACTTACTTTTCCTTAAAGGCAGGATGAGGACCGAACAATCATAGTGTCTGAAACTAGGGTTAAAGAAAAATTGACCGACTTCTTATCACTGATCTTTTAGAAAAACCCAATTTGGAACAGTTAATAGTTTATAGTTTGTAGCACAAAATATTTATTGAGCATCACTGACATTACTTAAAAACAGTCTAGACTCCTAAAACTACAGCAAATTAAATGAGAGAAAGATTATGGTCTTGGTGAGTTTGAGAAGCCAGTAGTCAACTGTACTATCCGTCTTATTTGTTGCTGTTCATGCTTTTTCACCAATACTAACCTCAGTGTTTGAGCTGAACAGGTCCACATTTTATGTTCTGTAATGATGGCGCAAGTCATAAATTAGCCCAAAGCACGCCAGAAAACTGGAAGTGAGAGCAACGACTGAATTTTTGCATTCTTACTTTTGCATAACTTGCTTTGCTTCAGGCGTTATACCAGTGTTGATTCTTATTTTTCTTTCATTTTGTCTTGAAATTGGTCCTCAGAGTACCCCAGTGGCTAGTGAGTTCAGACTCAAAAGTAACGTTAAGCAAATGTCAGTGACACGCGGTTCAAAAGGGTGATCACTGATGTGTGTCCTTGAGCAAGACATGACAACCCTAGTTAAAAAAAACAGGGTGCTACACAGTGACGACCAGCAATGGCATGTTTTTGAAAATGTTCTGTATTGGTGTAATATTGTTTATTTTTATGTAAGTATGTACCGATATATTTATGTATGTATGTATTTCTAATTATGCATTTATGTATGTATGTTTGCCAGTGTAACTCAAATTTCCCCCACGGGGATAAATACAATATAACTTATTCATTTTATCTATTTTATTTCTTTTATTTCCTTTATCGATAAGTTGCAATTTTCAACCATCTGTCCCCAGTTTTCTCAAGCTTAGCTCTGTTGATGCTGTGCTTGTTACACTTCCAGTTTTGGTCATCGTTTAAAAATCTGAGTCGGTAGGGAGAGTCTTGATTGATTGGAAGACAAAAATTTATTTTTTTTATAAATAAAAAATGTTTATAAAATTTGGTTTATTGAATTGGCCTGACGTTTCGAAAAGTAGGCTTCCTCAGGAGCAGCTGAGAGTAAGACTAATGTAGAGCTATTTAGTATCAAGGACAGGGACCTAACAAAGAAAGTCTTAACTCTTTGACTACCATGAGCCGATCTATGGGCTCCATAACTTCCTAGTTCCTGGCCAAGAGCCGAATTATCAGTTCGCGCTTTTCTTTCCCTTTCCCTTCCACAATTTGACTCAACCTTCCCATTTCATGTTTTTAACTGCTCTGCTTACCATACATCAGTCAAGCAGTGAAGGAATTTAGCGCCTTTTGTGTTTTATTCCGCTATTTTGGGGGCATTTTTTCATGTTTTTTTGACCCGCCCTGTGTTGCTCGAATTAGTTTACACGCATAGCAACGGCAAAATGGCTGATAACCCATCAGGTTCCCCCCCCCCCCGTCACAACGTTTTTCTGCTTCAAAAGCCCTGGAAAAGTTTGATGAGGAACTGTCAATACTTTCGGATAGTGATGTAGAAGGTGATGAAGTTCGACCCGAGTCGGACACCAGCGACAGCGATGAGAATGAAGATTCGCAAAGAGGGGCGTGTGTGCAGCGTTTTTTTCCTCTTTTTTTCATTGTGAGTGATTTCACCAAAAGTGCGACAACTTTTTATATACTTGACCATTGTGCATGAAACTTGGCCCAGTTAGAGACAATTGGATATACTTCAGTATGACCAAGTCATGAAGTGATTGGATTTAGCAGCTCTCCCATGTTTGTTTGGATTTATGATTTTTTTCAATTTTTTTTTATTAGATTGAAAATATTCTACATTCAATTAGCTTCATTTTGGTATATAACATGTCTGACTTCCAGATGGAATTATGCCCATCAGACACAAAAGAAGAACAGGGGTACTTCTGAAATTCTAAGACTAAGAAATGCCTTGGTCACAGCGTGGAAAATGCCTTGGTAGCCAAAGAGTTAAGGTCACATGTAGCCTAATTACCAGGCAGGACGGAAGTAACTCAGTACGAGCCAGGCCATGGGCCTGATTATAAAAAAATAGATGTTAGTGTAGGAAGAGTAACAAAGCTATTCATCTTTCCACTTATAAGAGTGATCTAGCTTGTGCCACGAGGCAAATTCTCTTTATCGCCAGTTTAGTCATGAAGATGAGACCTTTTACACTAAAGTTTCTTTTATAGTTTGCTCACTGAAACTTTTCCAGTACTGAAGTACAAATCGTAAACATGAATGTATCTGCTTAAAGTTGCAAGTGAAGCCAAAGTTTTATCATTACTATTATCATCATTATATTATTACTATTATTATCATTATAATTTTTATTAATATTTGTTCTCCGCAGTTAGTTGACTATTATACCTCTCTATTACTACCCACAAATTTGTACAGCCTGACAATTCTACTTACACAAATTTCTCTCGTCCGGCATTAAGTACACTTTGGTAAAGCCGCTTACTCCACAAAAGTCTCCACCCTTGTACACCATAGACAGACTGCCTCCATCTATGGAGACACATTTGGACGGGCCCTTTCTTCTTGCACATGTTAAGGCCTGAGGGGAGAGAGAGAAGAATTACATTATGAATGAGTTCCGTTTTTCTGTTATAGTATGTCCTTTCCTTAACCAACATTTCAAAGCCAAATAATTCCCCCCTCCCCCTTCCCCAGAATAAAACGCTCACAATATTTTGTATAATTTTAGTACTTTCCAATCGAAAAAGTTGAATTGTTTAAACTGTCATCCTGACAGATCAGTGGTCCTTAAATCCAAAGACTGACGTTTCTGGAGTAGTAGCTAGGTGTTTTGCTGTTGCACTCAGGAGACCCGAGTTAAATTCCCAAGTGGGGAAATTTTTTAATGGAAAATCTCTGTCTTTCTACTGGGGTGTTGTACCTGGGTTGGCCCTGACAGGCAGGGTAGGAAGCTAACCTCCTAAATGATTTAAATTGTGTCGATGGTGGCGTAAAAACACAAACACTTCATTTTAAAATTTACTTTACAGTCCCAGAATAGTTTCAATAACAATGACAGGAATTACTGATTAGTGAGAAGAAGTAAAGAAAGAAATAGTAAAATAATATTTCATCCATGAATGATAAAGAATTAACAAAAGCACTGTCCAGGCTACTGATCACAAAAGAGAAACATTGCCATGTGCCAAGCACCCAACACCTCCAGAAAAGCAAATGAGTGGTACTTAAAGGTATTTTAAAATTAATTTGACAAATAGCCTTCTTTGTAAAAATCTTATATTAAACAGTAAAATCAAAGAATTAATTATTGAGCAAGAGTAAACTTCACCTTGGCACTAGAAATTTTGTCAACTTGGGGTAAAACCACGGACCTTACTATATATCCTCCTTGAGTAAACCTAAGACATAATAGTTAAGTTTGCAGCAACTATAATTTTATTTTTTTTAAACATTTGTAGCCGTAGACTTACAGACATGTACACCATTTCATCAAAAAATGACCTCTTTTCTTTCATACCAAACTCTAAAAGCATCACAATTTATTTGTTCAGCCACTGTGCAGCGAGTTAACGGAAGGAGCGACCCTCAGATTGGCCAATTTTGTGTCAAACTATGCAAATTAAGATGTTGGTTGATTTTTTAAAGTCAACCAGTTCTTTGTCTAAAAATAGCTCATCGTAAATTGCCTTTGAAAACATGAGGGTGGGTTAAAATGTGAATTTTTACAATAACTTTCGTTTTTCTCAAAATGTCTTTTTTTCTGCAGTTTGTCCCCGGCTCGTTCCTCAGTTTTCATCCTTTTGACGTGAAAATTTCAGGAAACATAGATGGCAAAGCTGCCATTAACATAACAGAGAGATATTTGCTAAAAAAAATAATGGTTTTCCGTTGGCAAGCGATTAGGCAACCAAAATTTTGAAAAGATTTATATTATATAGATTATTATATACAACGGGAAAATTGTTGTTTTTTTCTTTAACACTTCCATAACAATACTGTCTCTTACGTTGATAGGGACTGGTTCAAATATACTCTCACTAAATTTGGACAAATTTTGTCAGTAAATAAGAATTAAAGCCTTAGGGACTTGAAATTTACTGTTTATTTTCAAGATGGCGGCAATTTCCATAGCAACCGTTGTAGCAATGCAAAAATAAAAGTATGTATCAAGAGATTTTTCTATGCCTAACTTATATGTGTACTTATCTAGCATCTGTATTTGTTGCCATTTTTTTTGTCCAAAAGTTGCCACAAAAATGGCAAAAGTTGCCCAAAAAAGTTGCCATTAATTTTTTAGCTTAGTAGTTTTAGTAGGGGTTTTACGGCGCTCGCAATTGTTAAAGGTCATATGAGCGCCAGAAGATTAGAGATGTTACAAGAGAGTAACAAACATAAAAAAAGAAGGGGAGATAAGGATGATAGATGTTTAACAGGAAAGAAGAAGCACACCACATCAGAGCACCCGACAACCACCCACACACAGAGTGTAAAAACGTGAACAATAAAGGTATCACAACAGAATGAAATCAAAATTAAAACTGCAAATAAACAACCACAAAAATTAACAAATAAGGGCGTGTGTCAACAACCCATCCTTAGACTGGCCGTTTTAACACTAAACGTGGGTAATATTATTCAAGAAAAAGCACAGGATATTAGATGTAAATTCTGGAATCACACACATGAGGCCTACCAGTGTCAGTATTCGTTTTTTGTGGAGACACGCTGCAACACAACTATAACACATTTTTTTTCAAAGATGGGAAGAACATTACACTATATAAACACACACACACAAAAAAGGAAAAACAACACATCGGAACAATAAAGAGAAAAAGAAATGAACACCCCAACAAAATAAAACTCAACAAAGAGGGAAACATGAAAGAGAAACAGCAATATAAATAGTATGTAATGTCGCCTACTTATATTCTTCACATGAAAATTACAAATCAACGTAGTGTTAACAAGTGAGAAAGAGACGAAGTGAAACGAAAGTGAAAATAAAATTTCTTTCTTAAAGTAAAGAGGTTTGGTTTCTTTTTTTTTTCCCACGAATTTTATTCCTAGTTTTTGTTGTTGTTTTTAATTTATTTTTTCTTCCCGGCGGTGTTTTTTGTTGAAAAAAAAACAAAAATCGTGGCCGCGATTCGCGGATCAAAAAAGGCCAAAAATCGCTGCCGTGACAAATGCAGATGCTAGACTTATATTTGATCTCGGGCAACAATCATAAAAAATAGACCTTGAAGGTCGCCTCTCCCATTTAATTAATTTCTTGTCCTGCTAAAAAATTCTTACTCTTGATCTATATTACATGAAATAGAATGCAACAAAAAAAATGAAATAAGACTTTTCATTTACCCCAAAACTTCTACACTTTTCTATAAAGTCTTGGTGGGTGGAGATAAAAAAACAAAAACGTACTGTACTGAAATATTAAGAAATAAAAAATGAAATTGATTCAAAATTACCAGTTCGGTCCAACTGTTTGGATTTGCCTAGAACACATGCTGTATGATCACCTTTCTTTTTTCTGGTAAACTGTGGCATTGGCACGCTAAACTTTATTCCTTGAAAAATCAAAACTGATGTATTGCTCAGCAAAAATGTAAGAAATTTCAGTCTGACGTAAGAACTACACGAATGAAGAGGTGGAGATAGACCCATAAATGCATCGCCATTCCAGAGAAGTTAACATTGTGTATTTCCTGACATGATATAATATTACACAGAGGGAAGAAAACAGATCTATAAAGCCACTTTTGTTTTGTATTGAAAACATAAAAGATAAGGCTCAACTTACTCCACGATGTCTGTCCTCAGATTCCAAAGAATCGTGCCCAGACTCTTTCTCCTTAAATAAGATCTGTGGACCACAAGATTGCCGTTTCTTTTTCTTCACAGAACGGGGACATGCACATTTGTCCAAGTCTTGCTGGGCAGCATCAAAACACAGCTTGTAAAAGTCTTTGAGGTATGAAACAGTACTGAATGAAAAAGTACATCTTTTTTTATTTTGGCTTTCAGCACAGGAACCTAAGTCAACACACTCTGTACAGTTCTTTGGTTCCACAACAAGATGATATTCTGAGGCGATCTCCTTGACAACAATCTCACGTTGACAGACACTCTCTGTGGTGTCAGTCTCCACTGATACTGTGTAAGGCATACAAAACACATGAAAGTTGATTGAAAGTTGTATTCACATATCAATGTTACTCTGTACTACAGGCAAGAAGGTTAATTTAGGGGCCACTGGATACAGTTATTAGAGTTAATGGATAGCATTTAAAACAAACATGGGGATTTTTTTGTATGAGGGGACGACATTTTTAAAAGATTTAAAGAAAATTTTGTAAAGGAGCAATGCACAAACCATTAAGCCAACAGAAAAAAATACCAAATTACATTGATGATGAGAGCAAGTCAAGAAGATCTTTTCAAATAAAAATCCCAAAGTGTGCTCTAGTTGCCATTTTATTCAATGCGTATTTTACAAGAGATAAATTTGTACCATATCTTTCAGGAAAGTCCTGAAATCCCTAACATTACTTACCTGCTTTAACGGCCACCTGTATAAGAAAACCACCTATATATTTCCTCCCTTACTTATTTTTACATTATAATCATACTGTGTAAGATGGCTACCTGTCTGATACTAATACTGCCATTTTTACCCTCGACAATAGGTAGACATTTTCAACGATGTTCAATGGAAATAAAGGCCCTGCACATCACTTCTCTACAATAAGGTTTTTAAACAATGCTATCGCTTTCAATGCATCAAAATAAATCTACAGTCAAACCTCATTATATTACCACCATTGGGATGGTCATGAAGTTGGCGGAACAGTTGGGCTAGCAGTTTAGCAGCAAGTTCCTCTCTTGTATAGCCCAAAGTTAAGGAACATGATTCTGCTGTGCAATCTGTGTTTTTCTTGGTGATATATTTATATATATGAACATCCACATGTCACGGCGTCACTTTTCGCCCGATTCTGTTACTTTTAGTTCGCGTGACTCAGCAGCCCGCCGGAGCTCCCCGGCTCGGGGTTACGGGGTTAATGAGCCCTGAGGCGACTTTGCCGGTGTCGGTCGGGAAGTTCGCATTTTTGACTATGTTTAAAACGATATAACTTCTTCCCCATCCCAAACAGCAAACAATTACGCGAATGTACTAAAAGCTCAATGTCTTGAGATTTATTCTGCGTTAGAATGGTTAGTTTCTGTGCCTTAGTTTTTGTTTTAGACAAGTGTTTGTAGAGTACCCAATTTGTCCTATTTTAGTTACAAAGTTATGAATAAATGATTGTTATTTTAAAAAAGGCACGACAGATCTCTCCAAATTCTGTGTTAAACTGACTACGAATATCATGTCTTTTACCATGAGAAATCTTAAATCTGCGGTAGTAGTAATAGTCAAGTTATAAGAGAAGAAAGATGCACATCTGCATATTTTAACTAAAGACGATCAGCGTTCGCTGTTATTTTACTATTAAACAAGAGAAAGTTACTCTGCGTTTGTTCATGAATCATGCTGTGTCTGTGGCAGCCTGCATACAACTAAAAAGATATAAAATAAGCGATTTAAAAAACCACAAAACCGTGTAAATACATGGGTAGAGATAAACTTCTAGTATGGAATAAAAATAACGACAGCTAAAACATTCATTCTTAGTTTTTGTGTAGGAAATATGCGCTGACACAATTATGCATGTAAAGAAATCAGTCACATTGTCAGTTATTGCAAATGGTCATAGAAACGTAAAAAAAGCTGGAAAAGTCTGGTGCTGATTCAGTGTCCCTGGAAAGCTAGAAATTATTCTTATAACCCAATTACGAGAAGTCATCCCTATTATTCAGTCAACTTACAAAACCTAGACTTCGCGTTTTAAGAAAAGTAAGCAATTTCTGGAGTGTAACAGATACTGTTCGTGTATTAGATCTGCGTTGAAGATATATTCTAGCACTAAAATCGATTTGTACTTTTCATTGAGAAACTTCATGATAACTTTTATAAACTTTCGAGAAAATATGCGAATATTCATGATTATATTAGACACATAAAGTTGTATTTGGAGGAATTACTTCGTAGCGAATTGTGTGCCCGATGGATAAAATTGCAAAATTACAGCCTTCTATTATAAGCGCAGATACCATCTTTTCTGAGTATCTGCACTAATGTTATGTCGTTCATATTCCAAAAGTTCGACAGATTTTGACGATGCGGTTTTTTTTATATTGATTTTTTTTCATTCACGCTAGTCTCAAAAAAATTACAATTTAGCATTGCCGACTCCAGCGCGTCTAACGAAATAACCAGACAGGTTACAACGTCCGTTCTTTTTTGAGTCTCAAGAGCAGAAATGCGTGCTTTGGGTGCACTAAATGAGAATTACCATAAATACCAGGATGCACCTTAAATTGTACGTTGAAAAGTACCAAAAATTAAGTCGGCCTAGACAGAGTGGCGACAGGGAGCTGACCCCCGTGACCCCGACGTGATAAGGCGCCCGGCGGGGAACCCCCCGCGGCAACTAAAATTCCACTGCCGGTGCGCCGTGATGTATGTATTCAGAGCCGAGAGTCTTCTCTCTCTCTATTTCTATCTATTTCTCATGGGAGAAAGATTATCAAGTAGCCAACCAGTGAGTAATGTGCGCTGTGTGCAGTGTATACCTCTGACTGCAAGTTCACTGATGGTATAGCGAGGTAAATTTGTATTAGTTACATAGGGACCATGCAACTCAGACAGTTGGCCGATGGCAGATGGTGGTGTGAAGGTGAAAATAATATATATATTTAATTTATATACACAGGTGTTCCTTTTCGTAAAAGTAAAGTTGTTCCCGCATCCGATCCAGATATTGGGTATTGCCTTGTTAGTGAGACAACTTCCTGGGCCTTCAGCATATTGTGGTAGGGTGGCCGGTTTCTTTCCACGCCGCCTTTACTTCCCTAACTCGAAGTCAGGTACCCATTACTGCTAGGTGGGCAGGAGGAGGCGAAAAAAATCAGTTTCCGAACCGAGACTCGAACCCGGACTTTCCGCTTCGGAGATGAGCGCATTAACTGCTCGGCCAAAGCCCCCTCCGTTCCTTTTCGTACATAGTATAAAGGCAAAATCAGGCCGTAGGCAAGGCTAGTGATACAATGGGGGGGGTTACAATGAGGTTTGACTGTCCTTAGAATAATGGAGGCTACAGCTGGATGCATCCTAGCATTGAAGGTATAAAAAGGTCACCATTGATTATCAAAAATCAAAATTTATTTTTAAGTTACATATTGCTGGTGGTGCAAGAAAAATGAATAAATCTACCTGACCCTGCTTTATAATTACAGGGTGTATGAAAAACGTTGTAGTTGTAGTCCCTTTTTTTTGTGTGACAGCAACTTTATATATCATGTATGTATAGAGGCCTATATATACATCTTCAAAACTGAAGAAGGGTCAAAATTATATATATCTTTCTTTACTGAGCATGCACATTTCAAGAATTCAGTTTAAAACAAACTTACCCTTATGAACTTTTGCACCAACCAATGAGATGAGCCATATCACGACGACAATCATGGAAGTAAATTTTATCAGTCGAGGGCAAAACAGCATTATCTGAAAGAATGAGAGGATTTCTGACTGAGAACATGCTCTTGCAAAGGAAAACGTGGTATCATGAATAACCCATAACCCGCTATTCTCACAGTCCATGACTCGCTATTCTTACCTCGTCCCCCTTTGGACATTGACAGTGGTGTAGATCTATATTTTCTAATGTAATAGTTCGGCCAGCCTCAAGCGTACCATCCTATGAGATGAAGGAGTGCTCTCTTACAGAATTAAAGTCGGGATATGGGATATGGAAAATTACTATGCAGACTTTTGAAACAGATATATATATGATCATCTTAACCAGATCTTTGCTAAAATATATCTTCAATGAACAACAAATACAATAAATAATAATAATAATGTAAAAACATTTTTCCCCTCTCCAGTAATAAATGTCTCACCACCAATGTTGAGTAAAAGCATAATAGCACAATAATTGCTCTTTCAATTGATAGAACAATTAATCCTTCCTAGAATTGTAATCCGTATTGTCACGCCCTCTTGTGTTGTGTCACGGCTGAATAAAGGCATTGTTAACTTGACCAGTGATCCCATTATCTTTTTATATTGTCGTTTCCTGTATGACTGGTCAACATGGTGGGGCGGGATGTGGGACCGGCCGCCGACCAGACCATTCTTTGTTTACACACTTAACAATGGCAGGCCTCTCTTATAGTTTTAGTAAGTGTTTTATGGCGCTCGCAACTGAAAAAGGTCATATGAGCGCCACAATAAATTATGGATCAAGGAACAGAGAGCGTATACGAACGTAACGAGACACAAGCACGAGACTAACATACTGCTTTTGCACGACGGAAGAAGGGTTGTAAATTATTCAGATCAAATGGGTGAGGGCGTTAAATCGTGTTAACTAGTTTAATAAACTTAGCAATCCAAGCTCTTTCCCCTTCTTCTTGAACATTTGGAGTTTGGAGTTAAAAAATAGCCAGAGAGTCAAATGAAATTCTCCGGGCCAGACGCGATCCAAAAGAGCCAAATTTCTGAGATTTGGCTCCAAACTGACAACCCTAACTGTTACTATTCGGACACGAACACAATCCTGAGGAACATCAGCCAGGACTCCCCCCCC